GGTTTGATCTCCAGCTCCCTCATGCCTTACTAAACCACCCTTAAGGCATCCTGAGCCAGCCAAAAAAAAAAAAAAAAAAAATGCTGTCATTAATAAAAAAAAGCCAAAAAAAAAAAAAAAAACCAAAACTCCTTCTCAAATAAATGAATTTAAAAGGGTAGTAAGACATAAGGCCAATCTACAAACAATAAATTATAATTCCATGTATAATACAAAAATATACTTATTTTTATATGGAAGAAAAGTAATATAAGATCTTTACATAGCAAAACCTGAAAAATAAACTTACTAAATAAACACAAAATTATAAAATTTATGTTGAATGCAAAAGATCTAGATTGGTTAAACAGTTTGAAAAAGAATCTAGAAGGTATATGCTAGAAGGTATATGATTTTAGGACATTATGAAGTCTATTTATTACTGATAGTGTAGTATTAACATAAGAAAAGACATAAGTAAGCAGAACAAGAGTCAAATCTAGAAACAGACCTAGTCATACAGCTTATTTGTGATAAAGATGCTGAGTTAAACCAATGAGGGAATGTTAATGATTTGTGTATGGATGTCCCCAAAAGCCTCAGGTGGCTCGGTGGTAAGTGTGTGGGTGCTTTCCTGGGTGGCTGAATCTAGAATTTGTGATTGGTTTATTGTCTAGCACTGGGATTGGGGGTATGAGTGCTACACCTGACCTGGGTCAGATAGCCTGCATATGATATAAGGGAGGGAGAAAGGCTTCTCCTCTCCTTTTGCTCTTGCTGCTTTTGCTATTTTCTGTTGCCAAGAACTCTGCTACTAACCCCCATCTTGGAGCCAGCTGATTATAGGGTGAAACATCTAAAAATTGTGAGCTAGGTAAACTTTTCCTTTCTTAATTTTGGTGTTGGGTATTCTGTCTCAGCAATGAGAGAAAAGTAAGACAAGAGAAAAATCTTTTTAACAAATATTGCTGGAAAAGTCAGATGGCATGGGAAGAAAACTATATCCTAACCCTCATCTCACTCTATATACAAAATTAATTTGAAACAGATCATTACTCACTTGTAAAAGCTAAAACTACAAACTTTCCAGAAAAATTATCCTTAGTATAAGTAGAGATTTTTAAGGAAGAAACCCTCTAATCATAAAAGTAAATTCATAAGTAGGATTTTATCAAAATTAAAAAACCCAATCTGCTCTTTAAAAGACATCATTACAAAAATGATTAAGCAAACTTGTCCACAAAACATTATATGCAGCACATGTTATCTGACAAAGACAGTTTATCTGTCTATAACACATAAAACTACTCTTAAAAAATCAACAATAAAAGGAAAAAAAAAAGCAGTCCAACTTAAAGAGGCAAGAGCTGGGTGTGGCAGCACATGCCTGTAAAGCCAGCACTCAAGAGACCGAGGCAGGAGGATTCTCATGAGTTTGAGGCCAGCCTGCACAACATAATGAACTTAAGGTCAGCCTGCACTATGCAGTCAGATCCTGTCTCAAAAAAAAGAAAAGAAAAAGAAAAAGGCAAAAGACTTAAATAGCCATCCCTAAAAGAAGATATATGAACAGCCAACAAGCACACACAAAGGTGGCCAAGGGCTGGGTTGTAGATCAGCAGTAAGTGGCAAAGCACTGGCCTAGCAGCATAGGTGAGGCCCCGGGTTGGAAACCAGCAATGCAGTAGCAATAAAAGTGATCAATACTGTTGTTAATCATGAGAAAAGTTCAAATTAAAACCATAACAAAAGACCATCTCACATCCTCTAGAGTGGCTGAAAAGACTGATAGCTCCAAGTGTTGACAAGCATGTAGTAGCTGAAACTCATACTATATACCAGAGTACTATAAAACAATACATTTGCTTTGGAGAACTGATTTTTGTTATCGTTCTTAGAGTGTTCAACACCTAACCATTAAACAGCTGAACAATCAACAATTCTATTCCAAGGTATTTACTTAAGAGATATAAAACATACACTGAATTTTTTTTTTTTTTTTTTTGCTCCTAATGCCTCAGGGCAGGTTTGGCTGGCTTGAGTTGTCAGGATTGAACCACAGCAACCTGAGCCTGACTGCTTTGCTGAAGCAGCCACTTAAAGAACTGAGCTAAGGGGCAGGCCCCCTGAAAAAAAATTTTTTTAACCAACTGTTTGGAGCAGCTGTACACCAGCCCCAAACTGGAAATCATCCAAGTATGTACCCATAAGAGCATGGGTAAGACAAATGCTGCACACTCCTACAACAGAATCCTACTAAAAAATAAAAGCAAATGATTAATGGGTACAAGAATAAAGATGAACTGCAAAAACATGTTAAGTAATAAAGGCAAACACACATAATTCCAGTGTTTAAAAATTCCCAGAATAGTGGAGCATACCTCTAATTCCAGCACTTGGGAGGTCTGAAGATGGAGGATGACTGTGAGGCTAGCCTGGGCTATAAAATGAGTTCAAAGCTAGCCTGAACTGCATGGTGAAACCCTTTCTCAAAAAGACCAAAAAAACCCAAACAAATAAAAAAACAAAAGAAGAGAGTGTGTGTGAACCCAAAGATTTTATTTTATTTGCAGAAACAGGGCTTGAACTCAGGCCCTTGCGCTTGCTAGGCAAACACTTATTCTAGTGAGCTATTTCCCTGGCCCCTAAAAGAAGAATAAACAAAATTAATCTATAGTGGTAGGAATTAAAAAATGGTAATTCATGAGGCATGACTCATGAAAAGGATAGAAAAGGGCTGGGAGATAGCTCAGTGGTCTAAGCACCTGAGTGTCAAGTGCAAGGACCCAAGTTCGATCCCTGGTATTACATGCCATGCTGGCCAAGCATGATGAAGCATGCCTGTAATCCCAGTGCTGGGGAGGCTGAGACAGGAAGATCACTATGAGTCTGAACTGTGCGAGACCCTGTATCAAATAAATAAATAAATAAATAAATAAATAAATAAATAAATTTTTTAAACAAAAAATAGAATAAAATTTTGAGGGAGACAAATGTTCTCTATCTTATTTTGATGTTGGTTACATGGATTTATACAACTGCTAAAAATGAACTGAACATTTGAGATCTGTCCATTGTATAGTATCTTAACTATACTTTACTTTTTAACCACTCCCTCCAAAAATTTAAAACTATAGAGAATAATCCAAAATATGACTAGTGATTGCTTTGGGGTATTGGGATTATGGCTTTTTGCTTTTGTTAATTCACATTTTCTTAAATTTTAAGACTTTCTAAAAACAACCTGTATTATATATAGACTTCTTATTTTCTATACTTCCTTTTGCAGTTTCACAAAGATAGCAAATACTGTCAGTGGTCTGCTTTGCTTTCTGAAGGGGAATTAAAGATGATCACAGGAGCGTTCCTTGAGTTCCTTTTCTAAGCAGCCTGGGGTTCAGTTTAGTGGCAACTGAAAGGAGCCAGTTCAGGGGGAGCCACACAGAAAGACTAGAGGCAGATGAGCTCTAAGCTTGGGGCAACTTAGGGGCGTGTTCTCATTCCTAACATGGGAGTAAGATATAAGCTACCTACTCAGGAGGCTCTGTGAGAGTTAACTGGGACACTGTGGTCCACAAAGCATGCATTCTCTCCAGCCTAATGACTTCAAGGGGCAGTCACTTGGGACACTTGGTGAGGGTACGAAAAAATACCTTTCTTTAAAGTCTGATTACCCACTTATCCTAAAAGAAGCAACCAGAAAATCTACCCTGGAACAACTTTGCCCCAGTGTATCAACTGCCGGCATGTTTACCTGTCAGGAGCGTAATAGTGGTTGTGCAGCGTGTGGGACAAGCTCTGTGTGTTCAGCCGCTTTCTCTCTACCTCCTTCCAGTTGTCATCTGTCCACTTTCTCTTGATCTGCTTCTCTTCCTGTTTTTTCCCCACATAGTCAGCATAGGTCTGGATCCGATAGCTTTCTGCATATCTGCTGGTATTGACAGCTACAAGGAAAAAATGAAATCCTTATAAAAGATGAGGTTGTCACTTAGCAGAGATGGCCTAAGGAGCCCTGGGATCAGGTCTGAGCTCTGACCTCAGCTTTGCCACTTATAAGACAGGTGAATACTGTGTACATCCTAAAGTCTTCCTCACACTGTGAAGGTGCTTTGTAAGCCAAAAAAAAAACCAAAAAAACAAAACAAAAAAAAAAAAAACAAAAAAAACCAACAAACCTAGAATGATGTAAGTAAACTGCTGACCTTCAAAATATCTGCAGCTAGCATGACTGTTTGAGAATTACTCATTTCTGAGGAAAAAAAAGAAAATAAAACCACTAGACAAAAACTCACTATTTTGTTAAAAGTGACAAGAAAAGCTGTATGGGTAATGATGGAGAGCACTGTGCGCAAGTATCTGCGCCCAGAGTTTTGCAGATACAGTGCTATGCCTAGTTCTCAACGTGAGGAACTATTTTTACTGATGAGAAAACAGGATGGTACCTCTAGGATGCAACATCAGGCTGTTCTGACCCTACTGCCAAGGCCCTTCTTGCTACTCTGAATCTCATGTTGTGATCTGCAAATTCCAGCTATTTCCACAATACTTGAGACATGGCTCTTCTCCCTTCAGTCTGAAAGGCAGCTAATTCTCTGTACTGTGCCTCTGGTTGGAAGGAGAGCTTGAAAGTTTATTTTCTTTGCCCACCATGTGAATGCTTCAGACTGAGGTCAGGTCTGAAGGATTGTTTTTTGTTTTTACAGTGCTAAGAATGCTCGGCAAGTGCTCTACCACTGAACTACATCCCTTGCTTCAGCCAGGTCAGTTTTGTTCTAATCCCATGATTTCCCCCTCCTTGGAGACTGTAGCTGAAACTCTAGTGTGTGGGAGTGAGGGGTGATGAAAGGTCTGTGGAGGATGGGTGCCCACAGGATAGAGCATGCAGTTTGGGCACATACTCTCCTAGCCCACTGCCACTGCCAAGGTATTGCTCACACTGGCAATGAGACAGAGCCTCGGCAGCAGTGAAAAGTGGACTGTTACGTGGTCAGGGGCAGACTAGAAACCTGGGTAGTTACACCAGTATTGTGACATCAGAAACAGAATCTGTATATTTAGGCCTAGCAAAGCTCTTGGTACAGAGCAGTTTTCCATAACTCTTATGTGAATGAATGCATGATAAAAGGCAGCCAGTGGAAACACACATGCAGAACTGGACAGGGGACTCCAATGTATCACAGACCCTCAGTCCAAGGGAGGGGCAGCTCTATGAAAAGAAGCAGACAATGTGCATGTCCCATAATCCACACTTTGTAATCTTCTCGTGGACCAGATGTGACTAAAACTTCTCAGCACAATAATGATTTATATACTGTTGTGTTCTAAATACTTATCCATCTAAAGAGAATTTAAAAAAAAAAACATTTCTTTAAAGCACAAATTTTCATTAGGAAGTCAGCTCTGATTTTCAAATATTCACTCTACAGTTAAAAATAAAAAAAAGAAAAAGTCCTCTAAGTATTAAGGAACTTTCATCTTCTGCAAAGTCTCCCAGATAAGTGCAGTGAGGTGCTGAAACATGAGCTCAAACCTGTGTGCTGTGACTCACAAGGAGGTGACACGGTGAAGGCAGCCAGCCAAGAGGACGCTAATCTATCAACGTGGTCTACCATGAGACCCGCTGGTCCTACCAGCTGCTGGCTAAGAAACACTTCCTGGATCTCCTTACATTTCACCCTTCGATCTGAAAGGTTTATTCTGCAGCATGCCTGAAGAAGGATGGCATTTGCAACAATCTCACAAATTTAATTTGGATTATCAAGTAAAAGAGTAGGCTTGGGCTAATATTCCTCAAGACAACAAAGATGAAGACAGGGCCAGAAAGGAGCCGCACAATCTGTTTAGCAGTATCTGTTTCTAATCATTCTACTTAGACTCACAGACAAATGCTACAAACAACTCGCTAACATGGCAAGAAAATTTATCTGAGCACATTTGGAATTAGGAATACTTAAGGGGAAATATAACAATCCATTTTTCCCTGCTGGCCTTCATGTGGGGATAATTTACCAGCATTCCTTTAAGTCCCAGCAGCTTTGCAGCTCTCTGCCTTTAATCTAGGAGCCAATCTTTGGCTCAAAGCCACATCTCTAATGGATGAATCAGCAAAATGAATTGTCTGTCAACTGTGTTCTCCAGCGAGTCCAAGTCCTGGTGAGAAGCAGCATGGAGCGGCTGCTTGGTAACACTAACCTTCTCCACATATGTCAGGGAAATGATTCAAGGCCATTGCTTGGTCCTGCCACTGTGTCAAAGTCACTGGGGAGCCAACACATTGGGAATGCACCTGACTCCCTGTAGGCAAGTGAGCTGGTTCCTCTCATGAAACAACTTCACTCACTCATGGCTTTACTGGCCTGGCTCATTGTCTCAGATACTGCACACATGGGAGCATTTTATCTTCACAACAATCACGTAAGGAAGAGATGTTACAAGGACCACAAAGAAGAACTGAGTATCAGAGAACCTAAACAGCTGCCTGAGGCCTTGTGACTAATCTATCGGATACAAATTTCTTCTGAAATTGAGCTGCACATTTGTTTTAACTGCAGCAGGGAAAAATAATCCACTTTAATTATTACAGATATTAAAACTAAAAAAGGATAAAAAGTCAATAGAAAAGAGTGGTAGCTGCAAAGAACTAGGGTTGGGGTTGGTGGAGGAAGATGGTTATAAATTGGATTAAGGGGATTTGGGGGGTCTCTAGAAGTAAGTCTTGACTGAACTGGTGGTTTTATGAACAGATGTATTTACTGAAGCACAGAACTATACTCAAAGAGAGTAATTTTATTGTATATAAGCTATACCTTAATTATTCTGTGGAATCTAATAGATGGGCCAACAATAGTTGAGACACTTCTGAAGAAGAGAAGGGGCCTTGCCTTACCAACTAAGAAAACTGGTAAATCTGTGGTAATTAAGACAGTATGGTAATAGGGCAGAGATAAACAAACTGGCCAATGGTACAGAGAACCCTGAAAATAAAATTACTACATCTGTGAAACTTTGATTTTTGAACAGAATAGCACAGAAACATGAGGAGCGGGAAAAACTGTTTATCCATTGGAAAAAAAATGAAATTGGACTCTTAGTCATACTAAGTCGAAAAATCCACTCCAGATGGATGAAGAACTTAAATGTCAAGAGCAAACTTTGAAAACCTGAAAAGAAAATATAAGTATCTTTCTGAGCTTGAAGTAGGGGAGAATTTATGAAGATACAGAAAAGGTTAAGTATTAAAAAAATCCAGGAATTTTGGGTACATAGCTATTAAAACTTCTGTCCATCAGAAGACACTAACAAGACTGAAAACAATCTGTAAGTGGGCCATCTTAATATTATATTCAACAAGCAGAGGATAAGGACCAGAATACATAAAAGTGCTAAGTCAGTATGAAAACAACAGAAAGATGGGCAAAAGACCTGAAAAGCATGCATCTTTATCTCACAAAGGAAGCATGAAAGGCCAATAAACATATGCAGAGATGCTCAACCTCAAATAAAGACAAACTAAGAGCATGGTAAGATATCACTTTATACCTACTGATAACACCACCCACTGGGAAGATGTGGAGCCACGAGTTCACTAGTAGCGCATAACCAACCTGGAAGACAATTTAGTGCTGTCATCTAAAAAGTGGATCACCTCACATCCTATCTACAACCCAGTAATTCCATGCCGAGGTATATATTAACACATGAGAATTACGATGCAAGAACTTCTGAAAAACCGCTGATTATAATAGACCAAAAAGAGAAAGGGAGAAAGAGTAAGCAATCAGATACCTATCATCCAGTAAACAGACAAACTATACAGCATTCATATAACTGAACACTATATAAGAGAAAACATAAGTAGACCAAAGCTGTATACAAGAAAATGGGTGGATCTTGATTTAGCAACATGACAGATGAGTAGTGCAAATCCCAAGGAATCTATGGTACCCTTTTAAAATACACACATGTAATGGGGAAGCAAAGACAGAAGGGAAAAGGATATGGGAGTCGAGAGGGAGAAGAGAGAGAAAAGAGAAGACAAGAGAAGAATATGAATAAATGGCGAGCCCATTTTAGGAGATGGGTGACCCCTGTGAGGGAATCAGAAAGATAGATAAGACAACAGATAGGTGTAATTTATTAGCAATATTTTAGTTCTTCAGTTGAGCAGTTATTTTCACTACATTTTAAACACACACAAATGTCTAGGTTGGCCATTGCTTACTCTGTCCAGCTACTAACACTCATTTCCAGGACAGACTAAGTTAGAAGGTCTCTTTTAGACCAGTCACATTACTCCTGCTTTCAGATCTGCAGGGACATGAAAGAAGAGCCTCTGTATGGTACACGAGTGTAAATGAGCACAGCTGTGAGATGCCTGATTTTCTCAGGCAGTTAATGGCAGTTCTGCAGTTCGTTCTCAGCTGACTGGAATCAGTGTGCATTTGGGTGGGTCGGGGCACATTAAGAAACTTAGGCCTGCATGTTTTGCAATAGCTAAATTTTGCTAGCATCCAATTCTCAATGCTTAAAGGTACTGCTTATATTCTTATTAATACATGGTTGTAAGAGATGAGGCATTTAATGGTTTAATGTGAACATTATTCTGACTTTAAAGATTGAGACTCAGAAATGCCTACTCACTTATTTGAGTAGAAATTCAAACTGAACATTACTTTTCAAGACTGGAAGTCCCTGAGAGGTGACATAGGTGTAAATCTGTCTGCAGAATCATCAGTGCCTGTCCACCTCACCACACAAATTTTGTACAAACTCCAAGAGTGTGTATACCATGATGTGCTGCCCACTCCCTGGTGTGACATGTGCCAAAAGCGGCTTCTGCTAGCTACATAGACCCAAGCCCTGCTGCCCTCTGCCAACTTGTATTCACTGTTAACAGGGCCAGCTCCTGACACCCAGCACGATGTCCTCACTCCTCCTGCTGCAG